CGTTTCGCTTGTTTCGGTGGTTTCGTTTCGCTCGTTTCGTTTCGTTGTTTCGGGTTTTAGTACATGCCATAATAAACATGCATAACCCTTGGCATGCATTATATACCTATAAGGCTACACAGTAATATTGTTAGTGGAGAATTTTGCCTTAGCTGGAATGAGCTCAATACAATTTAACCTGTCATTTTGGACCCCTCACACTTTTTTTTACGTCTTAATCAAACACTAATTAACTTTTGTGCTTCCCTGAATGACTTGAAACTACTAAATATTAAATTAAATTTAATTTAAACTGTGCACCATGAATGCAAGCTCTGATTTATGTTCAAAGTTATACAACAATAAGAATTTTAATGGTAAAAAAGTAATATTTTTTAAACATTAATTGCTCCCTTTCAGTTGTCTACTGGTGAGGTCTGGGTTTAGTGCAATGATGGATCTCAGATGGTCATTCAATATTCTGTAACTAGTATCAAATACACAGATAGTACAGGAGCCATAACAAGGTAGTCAGTGTTCTGGACTTTTGAATTTTCTTCCATGGCCGTGGAAGAGTCCTGGAAAAACTGTTTCTCTTTTCCTCCCAAAATATTAGGAGTTTTGATGTTCCTTCAAGAACAGTAGCACACCTTTTTGGGGATTAGTGAGGATATTTTACATAGAGCCATTTAAAGGTCGATGAGATTATAGACCTTGATTAAAAATGATGTTTACTACTTATAATAGTAATACGTAACAAGATATATATGACTTTGAGACATTGTTGTGAAGTTTTCCAATAAAGTTGACGTGAATTTTCATTGCACCTAGTCGCTTCATGCTATGGAGCATCTGATGGGCCACTAGGTTCACACTTTAACTTTGTTTTGTGTGATTTCCAAGGTGCCTGCATCAGCAGGGTTTAACTATAGTAAAGGGTCCTCTGCTCTTTTGCTAAGCAATGCCTTAAAATACATTATTTTGTTTCCAGATATACCCACACCGACAGATTGCCAGAACCAATCAAGGACAAGCTGTCACGCCTCCCAGTCTTAATAGAAAATCTAGCAGCTTCACCCAAAATATCATAGAGTACCTAAGATGTTGATTGTAAATAAGACTGTAAAATACTTATTACTTCTTCAGTTACATAGTAGATGTCACTTAGGTTTTCTCTGTGTAAGACAAATAACTTTCTTACTTAGCAATCACTAGGTTTTTACATTAACAAGAGTTGTGAGAGGACTGGGGATGAGTAGGGTAAGATTTACTAGAATAAATTCAAATAAGAGAACACTAGGTTTACTAATTAGTAAAAACAATAGAAAGAACTTTTTGGAAGTAAGGTCACAAAATGACAGTTTTTGAAATACAGTAGCTAAAATTGAATTTGTAGAAGCAACAAATCAAGAAGAGTTATGAACTTTTACAAGTTTCGTTCTTAAACTCCCAAAGGTTTTGGTCCTCCTTATCACTGTGTAAAATTTCATTTGAATGGTTGTCTATACACAGCTGTTTATACACACCAGGGCCGGGTTGTTTGAAAGCCTGTTAACACTAACCCAGGATTAAACGTCAACCGAAGAACTAATTTTTCTCACATGAAAATGTTTTTCACTGCTTATGTTTTCTGTGGTTTGAGATTATTCAAATTCAAAACTGAAGGACAGACAATATAAACAGAAAACCTCACCACAAAGTTACAAATAAAACTGAAATCAAAATTCTCGCTAGTACTAGGTTAGCTTAATCAGGCCTTGAACAATCCAGGCTAGTCCTCAGTCCTCTCACCTTTTTGCTATGGACTGTCAATTCATACTACAATGACTTTGCAGGAAAAGATCGAGAAAAAGAAGAGCTTGTTAATTTACACAACCTTAAATTCTGAGTTATTGAGAGACAGCTCTATAGTCAACGTGCAAATTCTCCTCACTACACTATAGTTTTTGTGAAATAAGTTTGGAGAATTTTAAGTCAAGGTTATTTATTTCGTACATCCACTTCTCATTCTGTATTGACATTGTTGTCAAGAAATTTGCTGGCTTGTTTCATAGAATATTATTGAATGGGATGGACAAGCATTAGTCACCTTATTATAATACAGTTGACTCCTGATAACTGGAACCCTTGCTAACGCGAACCTCCCGCTAACTAGAAGTAATTTTCATTTCCCTTCAGGCCATATTCTATCTAAATTTTACCCTTGATAACTTGAACTTCCAATAACTGAAACCTTTTTCTATTTCCCCTGAAGCTTCGAGTTATCGGGAGTCAACTGTACTTTTATGGAATAATTTATTTCTATTTTTACCATTGATTTTCTATTTTTATTAAACAAAAATTAACGACAAAATATATTCCAATTTATGTTTTTAGTTTGGTTAATTTCGTAGGATAGAACTTCTTATCTTCAAATAGGAACTTTGTAATTACATTTACATGAAGTGAATTAAAAACTTCCATACAAAATAACTGATCAGTTTTGATGGATGAGTTACTACAAGGTTTATATAGAGAAAGGGCACTTTCCAGTTGATGAAAAATTCCAGTTTTAATTTTCCAGAATTTCCAGAAAAGAGGACAAACTTACAAGGTATACTGAAATGTTCAGAATTTTTTTACCAAAAATTTATGTTTCGTTTGACTCTCCCCTTGAAATTCTGGAATTTTTAATGAAAGGTTCGCTTTTTTGCCGTTTGTATCCAGTTCAAACTTTTGTGAATATTTGGTNATATTCTATCTAAATTTTACCCTTGATAACTTGAACTTCCAATAACTCAAACCTTTTTCTATTTCCCCTGAAGCTTCGAGTTATCGGGAGTCAACTGTACTTTTATGGAATAATTTATTTATATTTTTACCATTGATTTTCTATTTTTATTAAACAAAAATTAACGACAATATATATTCCAATTTATGTTTTTAGTTTGGTTAATTTCGTAGGATAGAACTTCTTATCTTCAAATAGGAGCTTTGTAATTATATTTACATGAAGTGAATTAAAAACTTCCATACAAAATAACTGATCAGTTTTGATGGATGAGTTACTGCAAGGTTTATATAGACGAAAAGCACTTTCCAGTTGATCAAAAATTCCAGTTTTAATTTTCCAGAATTTCCAGAAAAGAGGACAAACTTGCAAGGTATACTGAAATGTTCAGAAATTTTTTACCCAAAATTTGTTTTGACTCTCCGTGCGGAATTCTGGAATTTTTAATGAAAGGTTCACTTTTTTGCCATTTGTATCCAGTTCAAAATTTTCTGAATATTTGGTTGAATGGAAAGTGGAGAATACTCTACCAAATTTAACCTTTTAAATAAACAAACCAACAATCAATGCAGGATTTGGAGTTGGACTTTGAGTTAGGATTTTGAGTCAGATTTCCGGTCAGGATCTTGAGCAAGGTTTGAGGCAGGACTATACATACAAGTTTGTTACTACGATATTAATTCATAGAAATGGTCTTGAAATTATTTTGAACATATTGTAGTATTACGCTGACTAACAAATAATGAGATCTACCTAAGGTAAACCAGAGTGAAAGCAAACCGCATGCAAACTGAAGTGCAGTATCCTATTAAACTGCTAGTAAAAGCAAACTGCAAGCAAGTCGGAGTGATTAAGCTAACTGGTCCTTAGCTTGAACAAAAATGCTGCATGTAACTAAAGCTTTGTGCTACTGCAGTCTGACCTCTAATAAACAAGGCAACCCTATTTAATGGACACCTTCAGCTTCTACAACCACTTCACCAAATCTTAGCAAAATTCCTGACCAACAAATATAATTTTCATTCCTCTATTATACAAACAATGGACGATGCTAGAATCAAAAGCACTTTGGTCTTGCCCTTCAGTGTCCATATTTGCTACTTCAGAAACAAGACGTTGTCTCACCTAGTGAGATTGTTACTGAGGACAATGTTGCTTCTCGTCTTCTGTTTTGTCTCCAGTACCAATCTCATAAGTTACTGCAAGATGACTGACTTACCCCTGGTTTCTTCTTGTATCATAGTAGGTGTAACTGTGCCAAGTACAAGAAAAGTCCTGTCAATGTTATACTGGCAGTAGCCTTGCAAACATCTCCGGTTTTTGTAAAATGACAAGACTGAATATCTTTGGGGTGCTAGTCTATGGGAGGGTACAGGCTGCAGCATTTATTTTGTTCATACCCATACACCTGGGTGGAACACTGTGAGAGTGAAGTGTCTCGCCCAAAAGCAAAAAGGGCCTAAGGACACCTTGCTACAAAGCTTGGCTTCTGTAAATGATAACCACTGCTGCATTTCATTACACAAAGTATAACAATGATTTCTTCATTTGAATTACCTTTAATGTTTAATTAGACTTCATACTATCAGCAGGAAACATAATGAAAGAACCAGAAATGGAGTTACAAAGGCCATTTGCAACACGTTGCATAGCTTTGCCAATTACAATAAATGGTTTTGGAACAAAGATGGGCCAGAAATGAAAAAAGTGGTGAAATTAGTAAGCTGGCTAAAGTTGAGATCATTTACTTTCCGTATTTGAAAGTAAAAAATTACTTGCTGTCCAGTAATTCTTTTCCATATAGGTCCTGGTGTTAATGTTAATACAGATTTACCTCCAAACCACTGCAAAAGTTCAAGGATATCCATGTATTTTACACATCGACCAACTCAAATTAGGGATGGCCTATTATTTTTTTGAGTTGGGGGGAAGGGGGAGGGTAGTAGGCAATTTCTGGGTCATGAATTTTTTTTTTCACCTTCAGGCTGTGCATGATTTTTTTTGATGGGTAATAACTTGTGCAAGAATTTTTTTCAACATGTAAAACTGGACCCGGATAGTAGAAAACACTTGCTCGATTTTTTTTCCCATGGCAGTTGGTGTGCATAATTTTATTTTGGAAATTGCTCAACTCTCTCCCCCAATCACAAAAATAATGGTCCATCCCTTAGCATTAAGTTACTAAGTTACCATGTCCTTTCTATTCCTGGTATCCATTTCATATGTCTTGTAATTGATAAGCTCGTGTGACAGGATTCTGCACGCAAACAGCACATGATGAAACATTCCTTGAATTTCTGTTACCACAAAGCATCTCAAAAACTAAGTTCCTCTTCAGAAAAGTTGGAAAAATAATCATGAAACCAACGAACTCTCTCCTTTTTCTGTTCCACAGTCAGATAGGGGTTTTTCTGTAAGCCGTTTATAACCAATTCCATGAAGCGGCGTACAGGACCTTTGCTTGGGAAGTCGTCCAATAAGTATTCCAGAAACACATGTTCCTCAAAACTGATATTTTCTTCTTCTATCTTGCAGACTTCATTATCAATTGGGTACTGCCATAATCTATTAGAAAGACTTATTTGATCCACAAATGCATTCTTTTTGACACCGAGGTATCCAATTTTATCGACATTATCCAATTCCTCAAGATGGTACAAGAAATTGGACTGAGTAACATTGTTGATTTTTGCATTTGCAGTGTTTGCTTTGCTAATGATGTCGTCAAAGAGGCCAGCGCTTTCACCTTCGAGAAGCATGACCCCACTGGGCTTGTTAATTGAAGACATCTCTTTGGTCTGATAGTCGTGTTCTTCCTTGAGAGTTCTCCTTTGGTAATTTGCAGTCGTGCCCCAGTTCTCCACTGCTGCAACAATGGTTTTTGCTGTGCCCAGCTGTTTAGGTTGAATCTCGACCTCCGATAGCAGGTCTTTGATTTTCTGGTTCAGGCTGGGATCTACATTCTGCTTAGATCGTTCAGCCGCATCAAGTCGGCTCTTGTCCAAATCCTCTAGACTCTTTACCACCCTCTGTGGTCTTCGCCTTACAAGCCCGGTGGATTCCGATGTGCTTGCCGCGATTCTTCGAAATACATCCTTCCGTCGACTCCTGGTTTCTTCGATTGACTTCTCAAGCATACTCTTCGCATCGTCTTGTCCAGGTTCTTGCCCAACCTCCTTTAAGGAGCCGAGAAGGTCACCAGATTCAGAAATCCCCAAGGATTTCTCTCCCAGAGACGCATCTTCTTGTATACGCATTTGTCGTAAAATCTTGTTATATTTCCATTCCTCAGTATTAGCTCTCTTACGTTGTAAACCAGTTTTCAGTTTACGGCTTGAGAGACCTTTTCTCCTGGTCACCTTTGACTTAAGACTCGGTCTTTTCTCAGGCAGGGGTTCCGTAGAAAGCGTGTCAGAAAGCTTGGAAAGATCAGCCCTGGTAGCGGATGAGCTCTTAAGTTTTTCCAGCAGAGACGATATCGGTAACTTTGCTCCATTCCCATTTCCACTAGAATCTGAACTTAAGTTTCTGATCCACGAGATCTTTGGTACACTTCGACCAAACGTATAGGGCAAGGAAACGCGACTGAGTAACACGGCAGCCATGTTGAATCCGACCACCATGTTGGTTTCCCAGAAATCAAATCGAGCTGTAATCTATCCCAACCGCCTTAACAAGCAGCAAAGTGTCATTCCCAGATCCCTTCAGCCATATTTTTCAAAATGGCCGGCTTGAAGTGCGAAATGCGACAACGATTTTGACAATGATTTTAACTGACTTCAAACGATTCAGTCGCCCTTTGTCTTGTTAAACAATTCCAAGATGGTTGGAGGGTCAGGTAGGATTTTTTGTTCTATTATCAGCAACTGTAATATCGCATTTTTCACGACAACTGTCAATAAAAATGATGATCTGTAGTTTGAACCCCAGTGATGCAACACAGAGAATTTCTATGTGTGGAGAGTAAGTATTGGTTTATTCATTGACTAGCAGTGGTCATTCTTACACTCCATGGGGACACAGTGCTCGTATTTGACGGATAAATTGTTTTTGTACCCCGAGGTTGGTGCATCCAGGTCTATTAAAGTTCATGTTCAACATGCCAGTGACATGCTCAATTAAAATCAGTTTTAATGCGATTTTCAGTCAGTGGAAAACCATTCAAACCTGATCCAACCTCATATGAACAGACTGGAATTCCATGGTGAGTTTGGTTTCTTTCGTCTTACTATCTTAAGGCCTTGTTAAAGTGGCTATGAAATGAAAAATGATTGTTGCACATTTGAAAGGCTTTACAAAATGAAGAAAAACG